AATCTACCGCCGTATTTCATATTCCTTGAACATGCGTTGTTGCCTTGGGCAGCTACTTGACATGTTTTCAACGTGTGTCATCATTGCTGAACAATGCTGAACATACGGGTAAAACGACACGCCGATACCGCTGGGCTCAATAGCAATCATGTAGCATTTCCCGACAAAATGGCAATTATCGCTGAAAGAGGCAGGTGCGAAGCTCACATGCCTGAGGAGAGTTTGGTATATAAATATGCAATATTACATAATATATATATATATATGCTGTAGAGATCATAGAGAGAAATCAGAAAGTGTGGATTTCACGTTGCAACACAGTACAACCTTCGGGTTGAGTGGCCACCAATAGTTGCGGTCGAAGACCGCCCATTCCCCAATTCTTCAAGTGCGACTTGTTGCTCCTAGTAGCGATGCCAGGAGCCCCTAGTAGCTTCTTGTTACTAGTAGCGATGCCCGGGTTCCTAGTAGTTTCTTGCTCCTAGGAGTAAGGCCAGGATCGTTACTAGCGAGTTCTGCAACTTTTGGAAACTGAGGGCCATTTTGAAGACCCCCGCCAACGGTATCATCACGGACGACTGGCTGCAGGTCCGAGGCAGCGGCGGATCCATATACGCACCCTGGCGGAAGGATGAGAGAAGGAACTTTGAAATGGCTCCAGTTCAAGTGTAGGGTATGCGGTGCTTGAAAATGTCTGAGCCAAAGTAATACAACGTGATAAGGCCTTGCAATATTTTTTTAGCTGGCATCTGACAGCTTTTGGTGCTTGCCTTTTGGATTCTTGCAGTGTTTCGTGATGCCCTTGTTCCGTTGCTCGAATTTGATTACTTGAGTCTGCTCCAACTTGCAGAGCAAACAACTCTTTGGGGCAAGGTATCGGCGAACACACTGAAGGTTAACGAAGGTTGCAGGTCTTGAGTCACTTGTTTTGCAAAGGCCTTGGGAGATGCAGCGAGTGTGAGGCACGAGCGAACCTCACCCTACTCAGAGCAGCAGCTTGGATTTCACATCTTCACCACAAGATTCAGACGCATTGTTCTAATAGCTTCTTGTTTCTAGTAGTATGGCCAGGAGCCCCTAGTAGCGTCCTTGTTCCTAGTAGTATGGCCAGGACCCTAGCAGCGTCCTCGCTCCTAGTAGCGATGCCAGGAGCCCCTAGTAGCGTCCATGCTCCTAGTAGCGATGCCAGGAGCCCCTAGTAGCGTCCTTGCTCCTAGTAGCGATGCTAGGAGCCCTTAGTAGCGTCCATGCTCCTAGCGGATAAAACTCAGCAGGTTGGATAGTTCTTGTCGTTTGAGGATGGAAAAGATGTTAGAACGGCCCTTGATGGGACAATGGGTGTGAGCGGATATCGCAAAAAATCAGAAGGAAAACAACAGTTCAACAGGCAAACGCTTCCAGAGCAATGCATGTTCCAAGGATCAAGCCACTTGAATCAAGCCCTTGACTCTTTTCCTTCGGTGCCACAGCAACTCCCCAGCCAGAGGCTCTTCACAGCAGCAGACCTGGACAACTCCGGAGATCTCACCTTGACCGAGTTGAGGGACCTCTTTCAGGCGCGCGGACAGCGCACGAAGGACCGCTGCCATTGTTGCGAGCAAATGAAAGAGGGTTTCAGTGCGATGGTTCAACTGGAACTCACTCTTTTCTCGCCGAAGGAGTTCACCTCTTTCAGAGGGATTTGATCATGGTTCACATGGTTCAGTGATTTCGCGTGGTTTCCTTCCAGGTCCTCTACAGTTTCGTGAGTTTCCACAATTAAGTGAAAGACCCTCCTTTCCCATCCTATCCCCATGTAGCAGCAGGCGGCTGGAAAGGATTCTTTGCTTCTCCGCTATATATATATATATATCTGTGTGTGTACACATGTGTGCACTACGTGCAGCTGCAACAATTCGCTGGCCAGGGGGCATCGGACGAATTCCCCCAGCTGGAGGAATATGCGCAGTACCTTTCAGCCGTGGTTGACGAGGAGTCCAACCCGAGGATAAATGCTATCGCGAAGGTATTTGGCGAAGCTCTCGAACGCTAGCAGCCAAGAGAGGATGCTGCTTCATTCATGTTGTGTGATCCACTTGAGTGATCTAAGTGTGCTGAGATATGCTGAGAGCTTAGGTGAGAGACAGGCCTGGAAGAAGGCCAAGGCATTAGTGTCTCAAAGGGCATCGGATCGAACCAGAAGAAAAGGCGTGGAGAATGTGGAGAAGGATTTTGCTGAGGCAGACCAAAATGCCAACAGGCTGTTCGACCTCGAGGAACCAAGGGTGGAGTACGGATAGAATCCGAACGAGTTCCCGAACCCCCCAAAAGGAGTAACAAGAAACATTAGAAACCCAGACTTCGGGTTCCGAGCACTCAAGTTTCCAAAATATTCAGACTACTGCATAGGGTGTAACTGCCAGAGTGAATTCTAATTGGCCAGGTGATACGGTGATGGGTTTGGATGCGCATTCTGCCAGGAGTTCAAAGGCCTTCTGGAGCGGATTGATGCAAACCTCCAACCTTTCCCTCCCACCGCACAAGTTGCAGCACAGCAAGGTGTGGAGAAGTAGTCAATGGACGCCTATTTTAAAGCACAGTCAATTGAATTGATATGCACATCATTGATTCGTTGATTTGGTTGAAATATATAGTGGTGTGCAATGGTTCACCGGAACATAAAGGTTTGTTGGCGCATATACGGACATACGGCATACGTGAGACTCAACCTGAGCCTGTGCGGCAGAGTGTTCCACCATTTACATGGGCTGGAACTGACCCATATACAAGCAGGATGAAAAATACAAGAACCCGAGAGTGTCCAGTTCGCCTTTAAATCAAAACGGTTGCGAGAAAAGACCGTGCAGGATATACAATCCTGCCCCAAATTGCGAGATATAGCGAGGCTGCAAAATGTCGAAATGGTCGGTCGGACTACCAACACCAAATCGTTTGCAGGCAAGTACCTCAGCTCCCTCTTCAACCAAGCCATTCTGGATGGAGACATCGACAGCTTCACTGAAGTGGCCACGGCCAGTGGACCCTTCACATACTTCCACAAGGGGTCCTTGGCCTACCTGGGAGGCCAGGAAGGAAGATGGGGCTAGGTCATGCACTTGTTTGTTTCTTTTGTATAGGTCAGTGCACTCATGATCACTCTGCTAGACTCTAGATTTCACAGAAACTTGACGCAGTAGGCACGCAGGCCCATGCTTTTTGTGCCAACAAATATAGGTCAACTCCATGAGTTCAAAATCGATTTGCCTTGGAATCCTATTGGTTTGAAAGCCTTCAGCCAGAGCACACTCCGAGGTTCTGGTTACCGGTTTGCTCTTCTTTTTTTCGTTTCCTCAAGATCTCGTTGCAAAAGGAGCCACCCTGGTTCAGTTGCCATCGAGGAAGCCCTTTTCCTCCCAGGCGGTTCCGCGGCCTTCGACCTGCCGGTCATCGGCCCGATCACCGGCCCAGCGGCTGGGGTGGCATGGAAGCTCTACGAGACATCGGCTCAGCTCAGCTTCTTGGCACTGCAAAGGTCGGCAGACGAAGGAGCAACCGGTGTTGAACCCACAGAAGATTAGAATCACATTCTGATATGAATGATTACTGTGACGGTCATTCTGAACAAAGTCACTAACTTGTTGAAAAGAACGAATCCAAGGATCCCAATTCCCAATCAAAGAATTTGTTCGATTAACAAAATTGATTGATATTGCTGGTGCGATTATCCTTTATCGAGTGTGGAGCAAAGAGGTGACCGAAGACAGTCCATTCCCTTAAAAGGAGCCAGCAACAGGAGGTTTGCTCTTTTGAATACGGCACGTACAGCGAGCTGTAGAAACCGTTGAACACCCTTTTCATCTCTTTTCTCAATTGGACAAGTCAATGATGGATATTTGTGGTCCTTTGGACGTTGATTTCGAACACCCCGGCTTTGGAGATCGATTTGTCATTGGTCAACCTTGCTCGACCCGAATAAGCAGCCTCGAGGCTGGAAGAACCGTGCCTTGGTAGGCTTGGATTGGCTCCGTGGAGAGGTCTTTGGCAGGGACACCTCACGCATTGCTTGAGGCGCGGAGGGCACGCAAGACCTCCCAAGACCTCAAATGACAAATCACGAATCCCTGTGCTCAGCCATGGACTACGATCGGATCTTGAACGACCAGAATCTGGCCCTGAAAGGTCAGATTCTTGAGACATTGTGCTGATGGGAAGCAGATGTGTGTTGATCTCCGAGATTCTTTTCGTTAGTTCTCTTCAGACATCAAACATGTATACTGATGTGACCTGTTAGCTGGTGCTTTTTCTCTACCTCATTCTACCTGGAAGGCATGCTGCCTTCTGCCTCGCAGATTCCTGGGATCTACCAGGTGGTTTCGCCATGTTTCGCCCCATCAAGCAGGTGCTGGATACGGTGCCGGCTTCTAAGCATTTGAGCCACATTGCATATTTGTAATGATTGTTTAAAGAAATAAAACACCCTGAGCCAACCAGCCGAGAGAAGCTGCGTGAAGATGAAGATGTACGATAACCATTCGTCACAGGGCTATGTCAGCGACCTAAGGGTGTTTGCTTGAACCCACGAATGAATTCCTTGAAGAGATGTACAGTGCAAAAACAAAAGTAAGAGACAGCTGGACCTCTCATGCTTTGGCCATGCTGGTGCCTTTTCGCGATGAGTATAGCTACAGCTCGCATCGCCATCTTTGATCGTGATCAGCAGATCTCTTTGTGTAGAAAAGAAAGAATGCTGATTCAGCGTCGGGACAGGATGTTTGGAGGAAAAGGAGCGAATGCGTTGTAAAGGTGCTGCAGGGTTGAAGGTTTGCGTCATCCCTTCGGCCGGTATATAATGGTATATATACGGTATATATAATGGTATACATATAATATATATATATTCTGTTTGAATAATAGTAATTGTATTAATAGTAACTAATAAACAATAGTAGTAGTAACTACTGTAATATAATATAGACTCCAGTGATTCGGCCACTTCCGCATGTTTCTGGCGCGTGTCCAAGGCAGCTGATGTCCTGGCTTCGATTTGGCCGCCATGAGTTCAATGCCTCAACCGTCCAGACCTCAAGCTTGTGCCGAAACTGTGCTCTCTCCTCTCTGGGCACAACGAAACTCTCAGAATTCTGAAGTTCTCATTGAGCTCGCAGGAGGTGCGCATGTTGATTTTCCATTTTGCAGCCACTTGCAAGTGGCTGCCAAGTGGCTGCAAGTGACTGCTACTTCTGTCCGGAGAATATCATGATTTCTCCGTACGCAGTTCTGAAGAAAACCAAGATTTCTGCAATGCTGTTCAGCAAAGAAATTCCGGTTTTCTCCAGAGCTGCGCGCGGAGAAATCATGAAATATTCCAAGACTTTACTTCTGCAGAGCTAGCGACAAAGAAATCTTACAGCTTCACACAAAGAACTCAAAGTGCAAGTGTTGAAGTTTACTTGCTTGAGTGACAAGTGACTGCAAGTGACTGCAAAACCAAAAATCAAAATGTAAGTCACTTGCTCGCTCTCTGCAAGTTCTCATTTCATGATTGGTTCAACGTGAAATCAATGCTTGCCGATGCTACTTTGGGCTTGATAATTCTATCAATAAATTCCATACTGAAAACGTTACAGTATATATCAGCTCTATATTGCAGTATAGTGTTGGCTTACGGCTTTGGATCGAATGAACCTTCTCCGAACTCAATGAGGCAATGAAAGTCAGCGAGGCTCTGATCGTGCGGATCTTAGAATAGTTGAACCAAGGGCTCGCTTCTTAAACAAACATGCTTGCATGTTAAGCTATCCAATGCGGAGCTTGCATCCACTGGCCCACCCTAGCCTGTCTTGGACCCGGCAAATGGCATGGTTGAATTCTGACTCAAGAACGTGTATGTGCAGTGTCCAATTGCCAGCGAATTGACGGGTCGCCTGGCCTTTGCTGTCATGTGTCTATGTTTATTCTGTCACCAATGTGCAAGTACGTCATGGATATCACAACATTGTCATTGAGTCCTTACCCAAGCGACCAGTGTGCCCGTGATTATAGCGGGGGGGCTGGTCACCAAGCCCATCGAGGCAACTTCAGTGCCCATCTGAGGCATGGGAATTACCTTTGCATGCCCGTCCAACCGAAAAGCTCCGCAAAGCCAAGTGCTCAGAGTGTGGACATGGGACAAGTGGTTTTTCGAACAATCATTGAAACATTCTAAGCTGGTTCGCAAGCGTTGTTTTGCTAAGGGGTATCCTTTCGCGACCCCGCAAGAAAAAAGGTAGTTTTTTTTTTCGATTTTTACGTTTTTTACCGTGGATATGGTAGAAGAAAAAGGAGCGCGCCCCCGGTAAAAGCGATAAACACATAAAATGTTTAATTTTTACCGTTTTTACCGCGGATATGGTAGAATAGAAAGGAGCGCCCCCCCGGTAAAAACGGTAAAAAAAACACGATTTTTACCGTTTTTAACGTGGATATCGTAGAGAAAAAGGCCCCCCCCCCGGTAAAAACGGTTAAAACATATTTTTTATTTTTACATTTTTTACCGCGGATATGAAATTTACACATGGAGCGCCCCCCAGTAAAAAAGAAATAAAACCACAGATTCTTACCGTTTTTGCCACGGAGATGGTAGAAAAGAAAAGGACAAGTCCACCTACAAAAACGGAGAATAACATGAACTTGAATTTTTAACGATATGGTAGAAGCAAAAAGAACAAGCGACTCTTCATTAAAAAAGGTAAACAACAAAAGTAACAATTTTCACTTTGGACCGTTTTTACCGCGAGAATGCCTCGGGACCACATCGCAAGCTAGAAGACCTCTGTCAACAAACAGGTTTAATGTTACAGCCCGGCTATCTTCCTATAACCAGGTGGGGTTCACTCCTCCTATCATATAGGAGCGTGTGCCCTTTTCGACAAGAGGAGTTTGGTGATTGATCAACATTTCATGACTTTTAACTTTTGCAGGGCAATGAAAGCCTACATCACTTGGATCGAAAACTTTCGATTTTTACCTACCGCGGATATGGCAGAAGAAACATCGGTGACCCTCCGTTAGAAACTAAAAAATCATAGACCCGTTTGCCCCCCTCGATCAAAACGGTACAAAAAGAACAACAATTAATTTTACCGTTTTGATCGCGGATATGGTATTGAAAAAGGAAGCGCCCCCCGGTAAAAACGGTAAAACAGAATCGATTTTTGCTGTTTTTGCCGCGGATATGGTAAAAGAAAAGGAGCGCCCCCCGGTAAACACGTTAAATAAAAAGGACGTGTTCTTTTTTGGTTTTCGATTTTTACCGTTTTTACCGCGGATATGGTAGAAGAAAAAGGAGCGCCCCCCGGTAAAAGCGATAAACACATAAAATGTTTGATTTTTACCGTTTTTACCGCGGATATGCTAGAAAAAAGGGGTGCCCCCCGGTAAAAACGGTAAAAACAGAAAATTTTTGATTTTTACCGTTTTTACCGCGCAGATGCCTCGGATTAATTCCGTAACCCCGGCAACTACGCTAAACCAGCACAGAAACATTGAATCATGCTTTCGTGGGCAAATTGTCAATGAACATAATGAACATGCTTGCGACGTTGAGAAAGATACGTAATGCCGGTGGTTGAGCACATTGAAACAACTTCTGGACGAGTAAGTTGGAATACAGTTATGGTCATCCGCTGGACCAAGCCTTAATTTGTTTTATTGTTTTGCAGTTTTTGTGTTCAGCCTTTCTGCGGCATGCTGTGGCAATTCGAGACTGCCTCACTGGCCCATGTTCAGAGAGGTACCAAAGCCAACTCGAACTGTTCCTCGCCAACCTGATATCGCGGGATTTCATGGGTTTGACTCTGAGTGGGCACAAGTGCAGAGTGATGCAGCTTGGTTTACCCCAACATGGTCAAAGATACTATATAAAAAAGATACTATATAAAGATACTATATATAATTCTAGAATGATACACATTGGAGACCCCACAGCCTCATTTCATTTGCCACTGAGGCATCGAGCAGTGCAGTATGGCTGGCAGGTCGGGGCTTCCGGGGCCCATGTTGCCGACCCCCACGATGTGTTGCCGACCCAGGCTGTGCGAGAGATACGGGAGGCAGCAGTCAATGCCCTGCTTGACACTGAGCCTGGTGTGCAGATTCATCTATACGTACGCAGCATAACGTGCTAAGTGTCTGGCAACAATCTGAGTCTCAGCATATCTAAGGCCAGCAGTGAAAGGTGATGTGGATGAGCTTTGGCCACTGATGTGGCTGGTACGCCGGACATGGAAAGATTAGATTGGTTCATGTTGACACAGTGTGCCGCGGGTAAGGGGTCCGGACGAAGATGTTTTGCCCATGCTATAACAAAACCAGAGAAGAAGGAATAGCTCAAGCAGGTTCAAGCTCAATGCATTTTATTAATGCACTTTGCAATGACAGACTACTTGAGACCAAAGTGACTTAAGCTCTCATTATCGCATATGAGCAAGGGTCAAAACCTGCCTAATTGATCTAATTGTGACATGAAAGAGCCTTGTCATAAGGCTTTCTCGCGTAAGCCAAAGACTGAGTCGCGTAAGCTTGCGTAAGCAGATTTTTCAGAACACATGTTGCGTAAGCAAAGTCGAGAAAGTTCAAAACCAAATTTGAAATTGCTGTAACCTTGATCAGGGAGATGCGGAGTTGCAGTCGGTTGTACTTATTTCAACATCTTATTTCGAGAGCCAATTTGTTGTTTTTCCTCGCGTAAGAGAACACCTGAGGCGCGTAAGCATCGCGTAAGTGCACGCGTAAGCAAATGAGCAACTATCGAAAGGGTTCACCTCAGCAGTATGTAGAGATGTGGAATATTTTCAGATATTGTTGAAGAAACCATGGAAAACGATTAAAACAATTTAAAACATACCAAAACACAAAAACATATACCTGTTCCAGTGCTCTATGTGCGCAAGCAATGTGTAAGTTTGGTGCACCTTGTTTGTGCGCTCTTCGGAAAGGACATGTATACACGATTATACACGTGTGTGTGTGTCCCACTCTTTGAGACTCCACATTGATTCATTTGCATACTCTTCACTTGTAGCAAGGGGCACCTGAAGCAGAGATAGGGCAGGTACCAACGAAGACACCGATCTCTTGCTTGTGATATTGACGGGAGATGTCCTGTTGATGTGCCTGCTTTTCACGTTTTCATTCTAAGCGTGGTGTGTCAGAAGAGATGCTCTTTTGGAGCGAAGCAGAACAACGATACCAAGCGATACCAAAACCAACGAAAATATGCCTGGCAAGAACCTGGCCCAGATGAACCAAGCTGAGTGAAGCTGACAGCGACATTAGCCTGTGACAAGAGACAGGCTTTGTTGTTTCTCAGGGTAGAAGGGTAGAATGTGTGATTCTCCTTGGAAAAGGATACCAAAACATAAAAACGATACCTTTCCAGCTACTCCATTTTTTCATACATGCGTTTTGATCTTCGCTCAAATCTTTAGAGCCTTGGGACATTTGTAGCCGCCGCTCGGATCGGCCGGGGGAGGTGCCCAGCCTGCAGCGATCTTTGCAGCTTGTCAGCTCCGCGCACATCTCCTGGATGCAGAAGGCGCAGAGAGCGCTAGTAACAAGTGCACCGCTACTAGTAGCAAGGACGCTACTAGGTTGGAGGCAATCACTGCTAGGGTGGAGGCCATCGCAAGTTGGTTGGAGACCAT